GCCCACCACGGGTATTGAATCCCTCTTTCAAGTATTGTAATTCCGCAGATATTCCGCTGTGCCGTTGGGGGGGGGGGGCTGTCGGAAAGACTAGGAAAACTTAGAAATGGGCTCTTCAACATCGATAATTATATTTCCACTGCATTTCTTCTATACTGCCTCTAGTGACACAGCAGCATGTCTGTGGACTTATAACGCTAGAAACCCGTGGTGGGAAAAGTACAGATAGCCCATTGTACAGTTTTGTGCTTAATTACAACCAACCAATCTTCTATACAACATTCTTATTCAGAAAATTATTTATTTGTTTGTTTTTGAATTTCGCGCAAAGCTACACGAGGGCTATCTGCACTAGCCGTCCCCAATTTAGCAGTGTAAAACTAGATGGAAGGCCGCTAGTCATCACCACCCACCGCCAACTCTCGGGCTACTCTTTTACCAACGAATAGTGGGATTGACCATCACATAATAACGCCCACATGGCTGAAAGGGCGAGCATTGTTGTTTTAGTGCAGGGGAGCGAAACTGAGTGAGCATGGTAGATTGACCCAGATTAAGCAGTCCCATTTTGTTACGTAGTATATCACACAATTGGGGGTTACCAGTTTTCACAATTATGCCATTTCATTAGTTGATGAACGTCAGAACAAAGGCAGTATTTAGAAAGTTAATTTTACAAACATATGTGTTCTTCGTGCATGTCACCACTAACCTTAATTTCGCAAGTTCATAATCGCATGTGATTTGTTCTGTCGAATTATTTTTTCTTTATGTGTGTTTCTCCCATCTAGCAATCTTTACGTGCATTTTCCCTAACGTTTTGATAACTTTCCATACTGACGAAATTCCCATTGTGTTGGTTCTCTAGAGTTAATTACAGTTTATATGAGTTTATCCCATCTAACTATCATTTGGTGGATATTTTCTATCGTTATGGAGAACATTCTATACTGACGTAATTCTTCAAGCGTTTATATAGTATCAAGTTTTAATTATCTATTTGTGGTAGCTGCATTATTTAAGATGTTTCGTGTTATTTCCAGCTTTCTCTCTTTTCTCGTTAATGTTATTTTTAGTGCTATTGTTTGTGCATCTTTTCCGTGTTTTATCTACATTACAATCGATGTACATGATTTTTTTATTGTTTACATTGTTTCTATATCGTTTTCTATATTTACTTTTTCTTCTACGTGTTTTGTCTCTGTTTCCTATTTATTTCTCAACAATATTTAAATAGCCTATTTTGAACAGCAACAATTGTCATGGTGCTGACTTAAGTATTGCAAACAGGTGAAGATCGATTGTAATTGTACATGTACTAGAATATTTCAAAAGGCATATCACATTTTTAAACAATAAACTCTTAATCTAGAAGGGAAACGGTGAAGCTCTTGGTGAAGTTTCTACCACCGATGTGACTGTTACCGATGATAGGACATTTACTGATGAAGCAGATGAACTCCACATGAAGCAGAAGCCAACAAGACGGAGACCAGTACGGAAGAAGATACGTCCCGTAAAATTAAGAGACTTTGTTGAATTGTAATTTTGTGTTTGTAATTCTGTACATTTAATTAAGTTATTGTTAATTGTTATTGGTTTATTGTATGTGGTTATTGTTCGGGACGAACAATACTAAGAAGGGGCAGTGTTGCGTCAGCGAAGTCACATGACTAGTGTCACGCCACGTTTCTAGAACTATCCTGTACCTTGGCGAATGCTCTAGCATTTACTAGATATAGGGTAGTCTGGTATATAAAAGAGCGTGACAACGTGACGGGAGAATAATGTGATGTGTGTGTAGACAGTGAGTAATTGACCTGTAGTCAGAGAGTATTATTGAAGTTGAGCACGTTCGTTGTTACAGCGTTTGTTTTAGCGTGAATGTTGAAATTAAGTGTACCGTAAAGTTATATTCGGAAAGAATAAACCAGTTTTATTAAGTAAGGACTTGTGTCGCTAAAGTTTCGTCGGAACGTAGTTACGGAAAATTAATTAACAAACGGAGACGTAACAATACTATATAAGCGCTTGAAGAATTTCGTCAGTATGGAAACTTTGTCATCATAACACAATGAAAATGAACGTAAATATTGTTAGGTAGGAGAAACACACTTGAAGAAAACTATTCGACAGAACAAATCACATCTCATTAAGAATTTGATAAATTACACGAAGAACAAATGTGTTCCTAAAATGTTGTATTAAAAGTGCCTCTAACAAGTTTAGTGTTTCAAAATATGATAAAGCTATTCGTTATGTTCTATTACAATTATAATTACAGTCGATCTTCGTGTGTTTGCCATATTAATTAAGGCAGCACCATGACAATGGTTGTTGTTCAACATTGACTGTATAAATAGTGTTGACCTATAAAGATGAAGTACAGAAAAAACACGTAGAAGGAAGAGTAAATATAGAAAACGATGTAGAAATAATCAAAACAATATAAAAATCATGTACATCGATTCTAATGTAGATAAAACACGGAAAAGATATGTTTATCCCATCTAACTATAATTTGGTGGATATTTTATGGAGAACATTCTATACTGACGTAATTTTTCAAGCCTTTATATAGTAACAAGTTTTAATTATCTTTTTGTGGTATCTGCATTATTTAAGATGTTTCGTGTCTTCCCAGCTTTCTCTCTTTTCTTGTTAATGTTATTTTTACTGTTATTCTTTTTGCAGCTTTTACTGTTTTGTACGTACATTATCGAAATACATGGTTTTAATATTGTTTGCATTGTTTCTATATGTACTATTCCTTCTACGTGTTTTGTCTCTGTTTTCTATTTATATCTCAAAACTATTTATATAGCCAATTTTGAACAACAACAATTGTCATGGTGCTGACTTAAGTATTGCAAACACGTGAAGATCGATTGTAATTGTACATGTACTAGAATATTTCAAAAGTCATATCATATTTTTAAACAATAAACTCTCAATCCAGTGTATAGGAACTTTAAAGACTTTGAATATGAACAAGTGTTAGTTACTTTTACAAACACAAGTGTTCTACGTTTATGTCATAAATAACCTTAATTTGGCAAGTTCTCAATACCATTTTATTTGTTCTTTAGATTTTAGTTACCGTTTATGTGTGTTTTTACCATCTAACTTTCACACGGTGATAATTCCTATCGTTATGGGAAACATTCTATAATGACGTAGTTCTTCAAGCGTTTATATATTGTATCGAATTTTAATTATATTTTTTGTAGAATCTGCATTATTCAAGATATTTCGTATTATTTCTAGCTTTCTCTCTTTTCTCGTTAATGTTATTTTTAGTGATATTCTTTGTGCATATTTTCCGTGTTTTTTCTACACTAGAATCTATGTACATATTTTCTATATTGTTTTGATTGTTTCTGTATCGTTTTCTATATTTACTATTCCTTCTACGTGTTTTTCTGTCCTTCATCTTTATAGCTCAACACTATTTATATAGACTAATTTGAACAACAACCATTGTCATGGTGCTGCCTTAAATGACATGGCAAACTCACGAACATTGATTGTAATTGTACTTGTATTAGAACATAACGAATAGCTTTTTCATATTTTGAAACACTAACCTTGTTAGAGGCACTTTTAAGACAACATTTTAAAAACACATTTGTTGTTCGTGTAATTTATCAAGTTCTTAATCGCGTGTGA